AGTATATTATTTTGTACTGGCACAACATATTTCAAATGTCGTCCGCTATCTTCGAGTATGATAACTCAAATTTAGTTTCAATATTTTTTCCGTAGCAAAACAATTAGGCACAACTTCTCTGGGGGGGGGGGATATAGATGATGGACAAATTAAAATAAATTAAGATTAACTATTTCGCCATACATTATTTCAATACTTGCAATCTTTTGTTTGCAATTGAATAATTGCTCTAAATTGTGTCAGGTTATTTTTTAAATTATTTGTTTTTACATTGATAAAGTCCCTCCCCCCCTTCTAGAATTGCCATTTATAAATTACTCCACATAAAATTCAGTATCAAGAGCATACTTTTCTCAAGGAATCTGACGGACAATTTTTTGAGAAATATGTTTGTATGAAGCACACCGAAATATTCTTGTAATGTTTCCTCGTCTATACGCAACATCCCCCCTACTGAACTTCTGCAATATCGGACCTACGCCAGACAATTTCTGGGCCGAGCGCCGTGGCTAGGGGGCCGGGCGCTGCAGCCACAAGTTTATTTAGCAGCTGACAACCACGTGCTAATAGGTCGAATGTGTAGTATTGCGTACTTTTCGTAGGTCAGAAGTTAAGTATAAAGGATTTGCGTAGGTTGAAAAATACACCGAAATATTTTCTTCAATTGTTTAAACAAGAAACGTTATGCTATTTTATGCTTAATTTGCATGGCTTTTGCTTAACTGATTTTTAGCGTCATGAAGCGAACTTTTGTTATTAAGAGCAAAACCCAAGTTCCCCAATCAAAATTTCCATAGTTCTCGAGTTACGATCGGTCAAACAAGATTACAACTTAATATATAAATAAATTACTAAATGACAATCATTGTGTGATGGGAAACGTTAATATTCAAGATCAAGTCAGGAGTAAATATTTATTTTCATCATTAAAATACTAGTAATCTATCCAAATTTGAAGTAGACTGATGAAAAATGTTGGCTCCTCACAGGCAAACATTGTAACTTTTATTATCTGAAAACAATGTCTTCGCTATATAAATTGTCATTTATGAACGTTAAATGTTCTTATCTGAAAACAATAAATTTAAACTTTAAAAAAATTTATTTCAAAAAAAAACGAGAGTTGTAAATTTGTCTCTTATTGGTTATTTTATATTCCTTGACAAAGACAGTACTGCACACTCATTCACGACAGACCACACACTGACACACACTCACACAAGCACAACAAATACACACACAACACACACACACAACAAATACACACACAACACACACACAAACCAACACCTTCCCATACACCCCGAATTCCAAAACTTCAAGAAATTTCCGGAACTTCACATCCGGCCCTGCATCTTCCTTTCACTAAACCAATTTAATTAAACATTTGTAGTTTAAAATACTAAACGTAAACAGGAGATTCAATAGAATTTAAATGTTTGATTTCAAAATTAAAAATGAATTTTTTTTGCAAAATGAAATCAAAATTGAAATCATGTACAGTAGCAAACTCAAATTTTCAAAGTATTTTCTTTCAAAAATTTAATTAATTGTTCCTTTAAATGTCCCACAGGAACATTTGCGGGGAACTGGTTGGAATAGAGCACTGAGATTCGCCGTTTTCCTGAAATTGTCTTATGTTAATACAGTTTTTAAAATTTGGAGATGATTTCCTTGCACAAAATATAGCATAAAAATATATATCATAATACTCGGCAACACGACGGTTACATTTTCGTAGAAACAATTTAAGAAAAGAATAAAGATTCCACGGACTTTTCTGTGTTATTTAAAACCAACATATTTCAAAGGCAAAATGTTTCAATTTTGACCGGCAATAAATTCCTTTCCCGAGGTCATGTAATTTAGTACNCTCGTAGAGAAAGCCAAGCCGCGATGAGCACGCAATGTCTTGTTTAAACCTTCCAGTTAATAGTTTTATGCTGGATTAGTTTGGAATTTCCAAAAAAAACGATTTATTGCAGAGTTCATGAGTAATGAGGATTGTTTGGATATTTGTTAAAAAAGTACCTGCCAAAATCGAAGGCTGGGCGGACATACAAAAACTAAATGATTTTAACCGAAAAATGAAAAATTTGCCAAAAAAGTTGGTATTCTAAAATTTTGGTAAATTAGGGATTTTTCAAGTTAAATCAAAATAATCATAAATATTTATCAGTCAAACATTCCTAGCGTATCTAATTTTACAGAGATGACTTTATGGGGAAACAATTTCGTAAAAAGTTCCCCCACCACCCAGCACTCCTTCTCAAACTTGTCGATTTCCTCCTCCTTGGCCACCTTGTCTGAGATTAACCTGCAAAAACATTTGATTTAAGTCAAGAATAAGCTCACGTTCTGATATGATGACTAGTGAAATGTAGCAAAATAAATCTGCCTCGTTGAACTCCTTCTTTAAAGTGGACAAGGGAGGAAACCCCCAGACGCCATGAGCCTCCGCTATGGAGACACAAGCCTCCCAGAGTTGCTAGGCAGACCAAGCCTTCGCTTTGCAGAAATGAGCATGCGCAACATCACATCAAAATGTGCCTGTGTAATACAGGAGGTTTTTTAAAATTTGTATTTATTATTTAAATCCAAACATTTTTCAAAAAAAATGTTTAAATTAAAGATCACAACAAAACAAACCAAGTTTACTCCTGAAATGTTTCTTCAAATATCTTCCTTTCTGCGTAAGAAATGTTTAAAGTTTTAATATAAATCTTTTAAACCACTTTATGAGTCCATATATGTTTCTGATCATGACAATCCATAAACAACTCTAATATTTAGTAAAATTATTATTCCACGACGTCAAAAAAAATTGTTAAAAGTTTTCATCACTCATGAAAACCAAGATTTAAAGAAAGCTGTGCTGTATTGTACCTTTTAAACACTAAATAAAGTGTTTTTACGAGAAGGGTCCAATTTGCCAGTTCTTCTGACTTGACCAGGTCCTTGAGGAAAGGCACGATTTCTAGATGATATTACTGATAGAAAACTATGGACTAAACGCAAATTTTCGAAAGATAACATAACAAAAAAAAGACTAGGTTTTTAGCAGTAAATAAAACATAATGTGAAATTTTTTTTTTAATTTTCAATGAATCTTTACCAGTAACGAAAGTATTAAAATCAAAAACAGAAAATTTATTGATATTTCATTTTTCATTTTTTGAAACATTTCTTTTTTACCTGATGGAGATCTCTCCATGCAAACACAGCAGGTATACTCTATAATAATAACTCATTTAATATGCTTACCCCAAAAATAAATGCATCTTTTCAATCGGTTATTTACTTTGTAATGGGAGAACTCAAACTTTGCGGAATTTACTGCTATGCGTTTCTAAACTTTCATATTGGATACCTTCAAAAAAAGTCATTAACTGGTTTCCAAGCATCACGCCCGGTAGGAAACTTGTCCGGTCGATTCCGAGATTACGGATAATTTCATATAGCTTTTCAGCCTTTCTACCTGAAATGTAAAGAATGAAAAATGTTTGGCACGGCAACATTTTCAAACAGGTTTACACTAGTTGAAAATAGTGTCAGTTATTATTTCTATCATTACATTAACTATGCAAGAAATTTTTAAAATCTGCATGTTAACGAAATACGTGTGAACAGCACATATTTAGTAGAATACTACCTCTAGAAGAATTCATTTCTTCTTCTAGCTGAAGAATTTCTAGAGAAATTAGTTTTACATCACCAAGTTCCTCTAGTTCCTGGGCAAACAATCCCATCCTTTCCGATAGTATCTCTAGCAAAAAAGTTTTTTTTTCAACATTTTTGCATTGACATTCTTAACAAGCAGTAATGTTTGGCCTACATGCCTTATGAAAACATTTCCGCTCTTAAAAAATTGAGATTTTAAAAGTTTTTTTTTGGCAAAACACTTGCTTAGTAAAAATTTATCTTGCACAAGTTCTAAAATTTTCTTCGATACATTTTTTTGGTCAAAACAACCCAACATGGGTATCATAATATTCGTCTTAAAACACATTTAGAAATTTCAAATTTGTTAAAGATCTCTAAGAAACTAAGCAAACTATGGACTAAAAGCAAATTTTCGAAAGATATTTGTCATAACATAACAAAAAAAGACTAGGTTTTTAGCAGTAAATAAAACATATTTTGAAATTTTTTTTTTAATTTTCAATGAATCTTTACCAGTAACGAAAGTATTAAAATCAATAACAGAAAATTTATTGATATTTCATTTTTCATTTTTTGAAACATTTCTTTTTTACCTGATGGAGATCTCTCCATGCAAACACAGCAGGTATACTCTATAATAATAACTCATTTAATATGCTTACCCCAAAATATAATCTATTTTGTCAATGTTGCATAACTAAATCCAGGAATAAAATGGAATTCCAAATGTCACCCCCCCCCCCCCNAAAGTTACGGCTTTGGTGATATTAAAGGTTTAAAAAATTGTTTATTAAATGGAATTTAATGGTTAATACCCATGTAACTGACCTGTGCATATACATGCATCTCCGCACAAAACGATTTTGCTGAACTTTCGAGAAGAAATTCTTTTAGAATAAAGAATTCTCTGACTAGAACTGCAATTCATCTGAACCTAGATTAACAAACTTGAAATAAATTTCTTAAATATTTTTTATTTTATAAAACATAAGCCACCGAAATATGATAATAGAATTAGATAAAGGGACTGTAACTGTAATTTGAAGTAACCCTCCATTTAAAATTGACCTACGGATTGAATCTAATTGAAAGAGTACATGCAGAAAATCAGATAAAACTCAGTGCGTTTAAAGAATAACAATATATTCAAAAATTAAACTCTGATATTGGTTTAAAGGGTGCCGTTATGAATTGCTCATGTCCGCTTTAATGGAGGACTACTTGAAAAGGTGTTAAGTGTAAAAACACAATCTTTACCTGAATGTTTTCTAAATCAACTAAGATGCTGGATATCTCTTCAGTTTTAGAGTAAAGGTCATCTCTCTTGATGACGAGATCAGCAATCTTTTCTAAATGTTAGTTTTTTAAGGATTGGAGCGTTCTGATTTACTCCCAAAAAAAATTATGGGGTCTAGGGTTCTTGCACATTTTTTTGTTTGGTTAATAATAACTTTTTAATTATCTCACCCTTTAACACGTCTTTAACAATCCTCATTTGGTTGACTTCTTCTTCCTCCTTGTCTTGCTGTTCTGTTATGAATTATTATTTTCTTTCTGTTTATAATGTTAGAAAAATGTACAATAATGTTTTCTTCAGCAGGGGAAAATAATTGATTTTAGTAACTATGGATCAAAAAGTTTTTTAAACTAGCTTATTTAAATAAGACAAGCTGGAAATTAGGGTAAACTGCTTGAATTTGTCTTGTGAAAGGGGACAATAACAATTCCTAAATTGTCCTCGAGGTTGTCAATTACTGAACCTCCTATTCCTGAAATAGAAATAGCACCATGAAATAAACAAAAAAGTTACTTGTGTTAAAAATGACAAAAAAATGCTTGTTTCTTCTACACACATAATATTGATTTTTCTTGGATTGAAATTAATAGTACACACCTAAAACCAAATGAAGATTGGACGGCAAAACCTCCAGAATGTGTTGATAAGGTTTAAAGGCAGGCCTTCCTGCCATGGATCCATGCCACCCTCCTTTCTCTCTGTAATATTTCAAGAAGGGTTTCTTGGTCGGACGTTAGTTCCAAATTAGGCTTATTGGGTTATTATAGAATTTGGAAACTGTTTCAAAAAAATAGCTTGTTTTTAAAAATTACAGCATGAAATCTAAAACTCATGTGTTTGAAATGGGCCGAATCATTGTTTGGAACAAATGTTCCCTGTATAAAATTAAGACAACTATTTGGTAGATAGTCATCAGTTGGTTTTACCTTGCATTTCTGGACAGATTGTCCGCCTCACTGGCCAACAGGTCTTGGTGAAGACTTGTAGGTGTTCGCCATTCGAACATGCAGTCTTGATTGCTGTAATACAAAGTGAGAATTTTGGGGTAATATTTATTTTTCTGAATTTACAACCCCTAACCCCCCACCACCCCTCTATCTTGTAAAAATTACTACACTTTCTCAAAAATTCATTCATTTTCCTAACAAAATCATTCAATTCATTTCTTATGACTCATTCCTTGTTCAGCCACTACTGCTGTTTTGTTTTGCTCCAAGATATAATAGCTAAGTTAGTGTTATTAAATCTTACCTTGGATTGTGAGGAGATCCATTCTTATGATAATGGAACAGGTGCTCCCTCGGCACCATTCTGAATATACTTGGCCAGTAGGCACTTTGGGCCTGGTGGCCAATCATGGCTGAGACGTAGGCCATGTCCCCTAATGAAATTCATAATCATAACATAATTTGAAAAAATTCTAGAGAGCATTCCTTAAAAGCTTCACATATGGGAGGGACACACAAGCTGCTATAGGTCCCAATTACAGGGTGTCCTACGTCATTTAGGATGGTTTATGGCTCTAAATTCTAAAGGCCTGAAGTCAAGTTTTAAAAACCAGGTTAATATTGAAAAAAAAAACCTTGTAGTCCAATAAGGAACTTGTCAGATCTTTGTAGTTTTCGTAATTGATCCAGGAGGGGAAAATGGAATATGTGGAGGTTTTCCATGTTGTCGGCACCCTGAACAATAATTAAGAAATTATAATTAAAAAATGATTTAATTTTAATTTTAGAATTCAAAGCTAGATGTGACATTACAATATAAAAAAAGGTTAAGCAAGTTTTACCTCATACATGCCATAGACAGAAATATTTGACCAGTGTTGACTTCCATCTTTCAACACTACACATGTGTGCAGTTTCATAGTGTTCATCTGTTATCAGACATAAGATAACTTTAAATTGTGTGCATTAGAATCAAAATTAAAATTGAAGTGGCAAAAACTGTGAGAATATGCATTGCAATTAGCTTTAAACAGCTTTTATCTAGTTCGGAGTTGTTTTTTTCACAAATACTAAATAAGTTATCAACAGTTCCTTCATGGTAATGCTTCCTCCTTTGTCTCCACCAATAACAACACCAATTTTTCCATCTAAAATAATTTGTTTACTGTGCTATTGTGGAAGACGATGCCTGGCCGCGTTAAACATTCCCCATCACGTGGTAGAGCTCAGGACCGCAGAAGCCCATCACCAAACCGCCGTAGTCAAACCCCAGGTCCATCAAACTCGCCCTCCTTGCATTTTATGCCCCAAGATTTAAAATTCGGTCATCACCAAGGATCTGAAGAGAAGAGTCGAATAGAAATTTTTCCATCTAAAATGCTGTCAAGTATTCTATAATTGTAAATGCACAATTTATCTCATTCTGTTTATATAATTGAGAAGAGGTACAACAAATTTTCTGATTTTAGGTATACTTATGAAGGAAACTGTCATTTTACACCAAAATGTCTTATCTACTATCCCCCAATTAAAAGGCATTGTGCGTACTAGTAACTCTTTTCAGTACAATAAGATGACGTTAAGTGCCAAAAAAAGCTTACAAATCACTTTTTCACCTTGTATTTTAACTTACCAATTAAATGAAGATCATCAGGATTCAGCTCCTCTACTTGACTTAGAATATGGTTGTGCAAATTCTTTGTCCGGATGAATCTGGAGGATGTTATTGTGTCCTGTTTGGAGTCCCTAGTTATATTATCTATTACTTGACAAAACAATTTTTGAGGTGTTCAAGCACCAATCTGACAAGTTTAACATTGTTTAGATAATAAGGCATCAACCCATGGATGTTTACATGGAAATTTTTTCAAAGAAATCTCAGTAACAACAACAAAAATGTTTCAAAGACTGAAAAGCAAATAAAAAATTCAATGAATAATTACTTGAAAAGTGGCATGTAGCCATGTTCTAAATCCACTGCAGCTAACACCTTCATTCTTTCTTTAATCTTGTGACAGGACGGGAACACATCTGTCATACATTACTAATTTAAACATTTGTTCCGAAAATAATTGATTTCGTTCATTCTCAAAAATATTGTTCAGTTTCCATTGGACATTTTCTAACTGAAAGATCATTCAGTAAAATTGTTTGTTCAGAAAAATAAAAAAAAAGTTTTTTTTAAAATTCTTTTTCCAAAAAATTGTTAGTTTATCAAAAATATATTATTTTAAAGTGTTTAAGTGTTAGTATAAAAATCCTTAATTAATAATGCTTTACAGAAATGTTAAATTCATAGTTCCTAGATTTTTTCTCAACAGAAATCTTTTAATTTTCCACAAGGATTTCTGGGAAAGGTGCGCTTCTCTGAGCAGAGCAACTGTTTCATCTGTAGAGACGGAATACTTGCCTATAACAGTGAGGCATTTGATAAATATTCAATAATTATCAAAGCTTAGATGTTTGACCCATTATGGTCAAATGCAAAATTGCTTCAGAAATTTCCTTTTGAACATCAACTAAATTTGACCTAATTTATAAGTCACATTTAATTTAGTTTTTTCACTTTTCTTTTACAATTGGAGCTATAGATGGGAAATAAATTGAGGACTTTATTGAAATTATTTAAGCTAGCAATACTTTCCCAATGTATTTAAGAAATGAAGGACATGAAATCAGACTTGGCCTCGCACAAGGTGTTGAAAAGTAGTGACAAAGATAATGACATGTAGCCCAAAATCAGTAAATTATTATATTTTCTACAACAAACCTTTGTACATTTTTAGGAACTCAGGAAGATCCTCTTCTTCTAACAAGGCAGATACCTTACTCATTGCAACCTTGATCCTGTTAAATCTCTGCCTATTTTTTAATCTTGATGAGGAAACCAAACTCTTCTAAAATTAATGTAACTGCATGAAATGAATAATTTCTTGCAACTATCTCATTGTGTCTGATTGTTAAAAACAACTCATGCTGAAGGATGTAGCGTCCATACAAATTAGAAGGTTGCAACATTTAACTCGGATTCGTTCTTTTAAATAATATTTCGCTTGCGCTGGATTTTTAGAAAATTCCTGGAAAATATGAAAATGTCGTCTTCATTGTCAAGAATCCTCAAAACAATTTTCTCCTTATAGACACAACAGATAGAAGCAAGATTAGTAGCGATCAAAAGCGATTATTATTTGCCATAAGCCTATACACCCTTTCATTTTTCGCAAACACTTTAAGGAGTAAATTGCAATAAATACTTTTTAGAGAACTCTGTAGCGCTCAGGAAATGTCCATCAATTCATGATTTTTATTATATTTTTCTTAATCTTTAGACTACCTAATAAATTAAATTTCAATTTTACTTTCCTATGGTAGATTTCCCTCAAAAGAATTAATCAAGAAAATACATATCCCTTTAAATGTCCTACCGGTTTTCGCAGTTTCTTTGGGGTAGATAATGATGATGATGATGTTCTTAAAGATCCAACTGGTGAAATTTTAGGGTCTGGACTTGTTGAAGATGGGCAGGATGTTGTTGAATTAGATCTGCTTATATCCAAAACAGGAAAAACTGTCAAATTTTCTGGTTCTGGAGAAGAGCAGGCTGATAAATAAGATCTACTTGTGTTTAATATAGGAACAGTTGAAATATTTGGTTCTGAACCATTCAAAGGCTCTATAGGCCAAGCTAGTTTAGATTGATCTCCTTCAGCAGTCATAATTGTAGGTTCTGCACTAGTTGAGGAGGAGAAGAATGCACTAGATATTTCAGGCTCTGAAGGATACTGTGATTGAGATCTTTTTGTTTTTATCCTTTCTTTTCTACCTTTTTTACCTCTTCCATGTCTAGTGGGCAGACCTAAACAACAAGACTTTTTAAAATATTTAAGTAGAAATAGGGTCTTTATTTATGATTATCAAGTTAGCAATGAAATGGAAATCAATGTCATGGATTTGTTTTCTTTTTGCTAACCGCTAGTTTTTCATCAACAAATATTAAATAAAAATTATTATGCTCCTTTGCCAACTGACTACTGAGTTTGGCATCCTAAAATTCTTTCAAGGAAATTTTCCACTCCACCTTGCATGCTTTGATTAAATCAAGTATGAAAGACCTGCCTTTTCACATCCAATTTTTCATTTTCTTCCCCCAGATCTCCGAAAAATCAATTCCCAATCTCCAGGGGGGGGGGGAAATAATTTTAAAAACATACACCCCAGGCACGTTTTTGATTTGGCATCACACAATTTTAAACAAGTTGCTAGTTAAAATGTAATTCATTCAGCACACTTGCACCACTGAATTTTTTAGCAAAAACCTAACTTTCCCATCAATTTTCAACTTTAAGTAAACCTATCAATATGACAAACCTTTTTGGCAGATACCAAGACATTTCAGAGGAAGTGCTGTTAGGGCCTATAAATTAACTCAATTATTTTCAGATATTCAGTTTGGTGAAGTTTTAATGTTTTTTAAAGCTTAGCTAAGCAAAGACAAAGTTTTTTAGATTAGATAAGCTTGGATGAAAACTTAACATTTGTTTCAGGTTGTGTCATGTTTAAAGCTGACCAATGCTTAGATGTTAAATACAATCCTGTGGCAACTTCATGAATGTTAATTATAATCTGAAATATTTTAAGAATTTCCTAAAAGTTTTGTTAAAACTTAAAAGTTTGCTCAAAAAAACTTTAAGATTAGTATTCAAAACATGGGAAAGTTGGCTGCAATGCTTAGTAGGACACCCTCTTTGATCCTAAATATAAAAAAACAGCAGAAAATCAGGTTGTGAACTGAAATCTTAGATCCTTGATTAAAAACGGTATACCTGATAATGGTTTGGAATAGCCTTGATAAGGAGAGGTGCTTTAGGATTGTGCGTCTTGGGTGGATAGACATCTAACCAATACTGGTCAAGACTTTGCTCATCTTCAGGGGTAAATACAATAATAGCTCGCTTAAGGAATATAGAGGCCATTCTCCACTCCGGTGATCCCGCCCAGACTCCATGTTCCATCATTTCGGTAATATATTCTTGTCTGCAGAAGACAAGGCTGAAAATAATATTTGTTTACAAACAATTCAGGAATTCAAATTTGAAGCATCATTCCACCCACAAAAGGGCACAGAGAGAGTTAAACGTAAAATAAGAACCCCAGACATTACAAATAGGTTTTAAATTTTAGCAAAACATGCCTTAATGCCAAGTTTCAGAGTTCTTAGTGCAATAAAAAAAATTTTTTTAAATGATTATAACTTACAAGTTTTCTCCAGATTTCTGGAGGATCATTCCTTCATGGCATCCTGTTGAACTGAAACATATATATCCAATTACATTTCTTTAAGTTTGTCTGTTAAACTGAAATGTACAATTTAGACTGCCAGTGTGGGAAATGTCATGAAACAGATGTCAGCAACAATTTATTGAGATATAAAATCAAGTGTTGGGGAAAGCTTTATGCTAAATTTCTCAGACTGGAGTTTCAAGTACCGATTGAGTAATGGGATTTCAGCCTCGATATGAATTCAATTTTAGCATTTGCGATGTATCCTGTTAAAAGTCAATTTCCAAGGTTAGATAGTATGATGTCAGCAACAAGACCAAGTTTGAGCCATGCAAACATTTTTAGCTCCCCTGCATTTATGGAGAATCATCATTTCGTTAAATATGGATGAAAGGGAGCCCCCCAAGCATATCAAGATTTAATTTAAAAATATCCGACTAAATTGACTCCCAACTGAAGCTATAGTTACCTTGAGGAGCAAAAGCTCTCTCCATAACAGTCTGAACTGTTGTGCACAAAAGATGAAGGGTCTAACCCGAAACTCTCATCTGAGATAGTTAGTTATTTTTAAAGTGGAACTTCTTTCTTTAGGGCAGAGTGGTTAGGGGAAGGGTGCCCCATACCCCTCCCCTTCTGTCTTAAAAAAAGAAGTTCAATGAAGAAATTATATTTTTCAGTTGATTCCAGAAAAATTAGCCCTCAAATGGATGATACACAAACAAGAACGAGATAATTGAGACTTTAGAAGAAAGAGATGTAAAAAATAAAAAAATTAATAAATGTTAAAAAAAAGTGGAACTGTTTTCCATGGTATTTGTCTGTGTTAGCTAGACAGGTATATTTTCCATCTTTTTGTGCCCAAAAAAATACTACAAAACAATTAGTAAAGCTGTCACACATCATGATAATAATAATGATAATAATTCTTAATAACTTGACTCTATTTAATTTACCTTCATTATTCAGTGCAAACTCTAAAATATTTCTTCTCAAATGTTCTTGTTTGTCTTCAGTACCGTACAAAAGAAGACTTATACTTCTGAAATTTGACCTTATTACTATTCTAAATTGTATCAAAAAACTTCTAAGTTGATTTTTACTGCAAAACCAAGCTATGATGATATATTGAAGCTCAACTTCAGGCCTAATTCCTAATTTATTTAACTTACATTTGAAATTTCCTTGCAAAAATTCCAGGGGGGAATTTGTAAGCAGATATTAGTAATATTGAAAGTGGTCTAAGTGCTCCTGAAGACAAGATGAATTAATAAGAATACCTAAAACCACAGTTTCCATCCCCTGTGACGTCAAACACTTGAAAAATAGCTTCATTGGTTATCTGGAGTTCTGGAACTTTGGTAAGGGACTTAACTACTTCTAAATAAAAATTCTTTTGCTCAATTGTCTCATTTGGATTATTTTGCACAACAAATGAAAAAGTTCAGTTTATCATATAATCAATAAATCAATCAAGATATATAAATATCAATCTATCAAGATTATAATTCAGTAAACTCTAAGCAAATCAATCAATTAATCATTCAACTATAGCCAAGTAAAAGAAAAAAAACAAACCCCAACAAATCAACCAATAAATCAATCAGATATTTCATATCGTTTTTCCCATTAACCTTCATGTTTTCACATGTTTTTACTTTGTTAAATAAATTTCTTTAGCACACAGGTCTCATTTACTAACAAAAAGTAAGGGAAATTATATTTTCCATTCGCACCCCTTTTCCATGATATTTAAATTCTCAACTTGTAATTGATTTAAATTTTCATTAAAATTGCTTAACAAATCACTGACAAACCTGTTCCTCGCAAATGATGCTTGCAATCTCTACACTCTAAAATAAGAACTTTAAATAAATACACTCATTGTCAATGAGAATCTATTCACATAAAGAAACTTGATTGAAAAAAATATTATTGAGCACCAACCTTTCATATTAAAGAAAGAACTACCAAGGATAATACATAGCTTCCCTGAAATATTTTTAAATCTGATTAACAGCTTTAATTTATTAACTCAAATACTGGGCTAAAAAAGTTTCAAACTTGTAAAATTTGCAGGATTTTAACCCAAAAAAATTGAACAGGCAATGCAGCATTTAAGTACATTGAGTTCTTGTACAGGTTAAAGCTGAGGAATGCCTACACCAAAGTAACCACTGTACTTAACAGACAATACACCTTTTGAATGCACTCATTTGAATGCACTTAGTTTGTGTACAGATAAAATATGATGGATGCCTACACCAAGAGAAAACTCTGTACTTGACAGGCAATACACCATTTGGGTGCACTGAGTTCTTGTACAGGTTAGAGCTGAGGGATGAGGGCACTTAGTGATAAACGAGGGTGTAGTCATTATAAGTCCCCAGTGATTAGAAAATCCAAATTGAAATGAACCTGCAACAAAAAAAGTTTCAAAGAATTTCTGAAAGGATTGGAGGAAATTTATAAAGAAACTATTAAAATTAAGAAAGACAAAATGAAATAAATCATCACTTACCCATTTTGTTAAAGTCTTCATTTTTCTTGTGTTGATATTGATATGAAGGCAGGAGAGCGGAGTTCAAATTGAATGTTGAATATGATAAATATTTAAATAACATAAAAGTTTACTAAAATAAATAATGAAAGTCACATCCAATTCACTACGGAAATGAAGTTATTGGAAGAGAGCCAATATTGTGAGATAAAAAGAATAATCAATAATTCATTATATGCAAGCAATTTTAGGACATCAAATATATATGGTCAACATTTTTAGTTTTTTGAGTTAAATTTGCTTAAAAGAGTTTAGTCGACAACAAAAATGAAGTCAAAGAAAGTGAGCTTCAAGGGCTAGATATGATGGTTTAAGTTTTAGGCAGAGCCCCCTAGATTTTCCAGGAGATAGTTGTATATTCAACTTAGCCACATTTCAACTAAAATATATATAAATTAATAAAATAAGAATAAAAACTGTTGACCAAAAAATGTTCTGCCTAAATTAGTCATGTTGATAAAATTTAATCGTCATAAAAGCCGGTTTTCCTCCAGGAAATATTAACTTAGAGAAGAAGATCTTTTCTTAAAAACATTTTAATATTTAATATGAATGCTATTCAGGTGGAATTTAGAAAATCAACCACACTTTTTAAATACATATATATGAAACTAATTTTAAAAAATGATGGATTATACAAAATCTTTAACTTACCCAAAAAGTAGTTAAAAGATTCCCCTAACATTGAATTCCTCCACATCACAATGATTCCATTACCTGAAAGAAAAATAAAGTACTAAAAAACATATTTGAATCATGTTTTTCATCTAGTTGATTGACAAATTAGTGAAGTTCTGGAAGTAAGCATGCCAAAAAAAAAATGAGTTTCTAATACTAAACTACAAGGATACCTTCTTTTTTATTTATTTTTTTGTAACTAGCAACATAAGAAATCAAGTTTAAACTAACCCAAAAAAAATGATGATGGTCCAGTAAAGCTTTGATTTCCAGAAGCATTAAGCAGCAAACCTGAACAATTTAGGGTATTTTGATCCTAATAAACAAAGCAAGACACCTAAGAAATGGATTTGAGTTGTTTAACTAACACTATAAAAATCCTCTGATTTTCATGGGGAATAAATTTTCTTTATAAAACTCCCCCCCCCCCTGGTAGAGATTTGAAAAAATATTTTGTGATAGGCAAAATTTACCCAAAAACTTACCCAAAAAAACATAATACAATTTCCTACATATTCTCCAGGGGGGGGATTTGGGATGATCAAATTGTCAAAAGTTAGCCTCCAACAAAATTTGATTGTCGAATTTAATTGTGCATAGTCCAAATTTTTTTTTTCATTGAATCAGAAAGCATTTTTTTATTGTTTTACAATAAATACAAAGAGAAAATGTTCACAATTAAAATAGAAGTTGGGCAACCGAAAAATTAGATCCAACAAAAAATTTGGACTTGATCGATTCAGCTGTTTTGACGTTTATCGGATGCAAACAAACAAAAAAACAGACAGACAGACAAGCAAAGCATACATATATATACATGAAAAAAGCATTTGCTACATATCTACCTAACATTGTGAGGACTTCCGTCCTTATGTCCTTCCGAAAGACGTGGTTTCTCAGAGTAGCTGAAGTAGCTGCAGTTCCATGCAGCTTATCCTTGATGGGCTTGAAAAGCACATGTAAACGCTAAATCACCTAATGTTGTTCTTTTTTATCAATAACAGTTAAACTGTTAAACTTTAACAAATTCCGAGTTCTGAAAATTTTGTTAAAAACCTTTTTCAACATGCTATTAACAGAATTTTTATTAAATTATATTAATTCCTTAAGCTGCACGCTCCCTCCTTTATCTCCACTGATAATTAACACCGGCTTACCATCTAAAAAAAAAAAATGTCTGAAATCTTTTAACAAATTGTTAACAATAAAAGTGTAGAAATAACAGGAAAACAAAACGATGTAACAGAGATTAAGAAATTTACCGATTTTAGCTTCCTCGTCATATTCTGCTAGATGAGAAAAAGAGTGTTCCACCAAATTAGTGGTTCAGAAGAACGAACCAAGTTTGCCGTCTTTACATTTCGTGTCACTAAACAATTTAAAACCATACCTAACTTTTATATCAAAATAATTTTTTTCAAAAATGATGTGTCAAAGTTTTTAAAGTTTAAGGATAAAAGTTTTATCTTTTGAGAAATTGTAAATTTTTAAAAAAAAAATAAATATGCTTCCTATGTAGGTCTGGCAATGCTGGCAATTCCGTGGTGTTGGTTTGATTTGGGATGCCAACTTCAGTGATTTCCTAATTAAAAAAACACATTAAATATTAAGATGTTAGATCATTTAATCACAAATAATGTGTACTTTTCTACTTTTTTTTATTACCTGTTCAATTCTTTGTATTAAACAATGAAATTCATCCGTCTTCTTTCATTGTCTCTAAATATTTATTTGTTAATTTGAATCTAACATCTGAATGCAATAAGAATACATATTACTTTTAACAACATTTTTATGGCAAAGGAATCACTTTCCATTATATAGAAGTTTAATGGTCGTAAAGGTCAATAANGGAGCGTGGCTGATTTGATACAAGCAGGGTTACTGAGAATAACACATGGTAAGATCAGGATATTTTGATTTAGAAAAACCACAAAAAGATAAAATAAAAGCAATAGAAATTTAAAAAAATTAAAATTAAAAATTAGATTGATTTGCCTCAAATATTGATTTGGGAACTCAGAGAATTTACGGGAAAGTTGGGTTCCTAAGCTAGACTATATATTTACTTTGCTTGTCGGTATGCCTGATTGAATGTTAGTTTTTAATCAAATAAACAACAAAACGGCTGAACAGATCTGGCCAAACTTTTGTGTGCGACCTCACAAGAATGCAGGGAAGGTTTGGGATGATCAAATTGTCAAAAGTTAGCCTCAAACAAAATTTGATTGTCGAATTCAATTGTGCATAGTCCAAATTTTTTTTTCATTGAACCAGAAAGCATGTTTTTATTGTTTTACAATAAATACAAAGAGAAAATGTTAACAATTAAAGTAGAAGATGGGCAACTGAAAAATTAGATCCAACAAAAAATTTGGACTTGATTGATTCAGCTGTTTTGACGTTTATCGGATGCAAACAAACAAACAAACAAACAAACAAACAAACAGACAGACAAGCAAAGCATACACATATATACACGAAAAAAGCATTTGCTAAATATCTACCTAACATTGTGAGGACTTCCGTCCTTATGTCCTTCCGAAAGATGTGGTTTCTTAGAATAGCTTAAGTAGCTGCAGTTCCATGCAGCTTGTCCTTGATGGGCTTGAAAAGCACTTGTAAACGCTAAATCACCTAATAAGTTGTTCTTTTTTATCAATAACAGTTAAACTGTTAAATTTTAACAAATTCCGAGTTCTGAAAATTTTGTTAAAAACCTTATTCAACATGTAATTAACAGAATTTTTATTGATAATTAACACCGGCTTACCATCTAAAAAAAACAAAATGTCTGAAATCTTAAAACGAATTGTTAACAATAAAAGTGTAGAAATAACAGGAAAACAAAACAATGTAACAGAGATTAAGAAATTTACCGATTTTAGCTAAATCTTCCTCGTCATATTCTGCTAGATGAGAAAAAGAGTGTTCCACCAAATTAGTGGTTCGGAAGAACGAACCAAGTTTGCCGTCTTTACATTTCGTGTCACTAAACAATTTAAAACCATACCTAACTTTTATATCAAAATAATTATTTTCAAAAATGATGTGTCAAAGTTTTTTAAGTTTAAGGATAAAAGTTTTATCTTTTGAGAAATTGTAAAT